CTGTTATAGTACTGTGGACCTGTAGAAGGTCCTCCCTACTTGCTGTCCCTACCCTTTCTCTTAGCACCACATATTTTTTTAAGGAAAATTTTTCATGTTCCAAGCCAAATCAATTCCAAATCCATGAGTCACTCAAGAACCAGATGTGGCCCTACTACTGGCAAATATCCTCCACCGCAGCCTGGGGCTTCAGATGCTTCCAAATCCTTTGGTGGGCATCCTACATGCCTCTGTCTGCAGTGATGGAAATGGTTATGAACAGTGCTCTATTCTTATTTTCTTGTGCTCCCCCCCTTACTTAATAAACCAAGCCTAAGAAGCCGGGTCCGCAGCCCAGTGTTTAAGATTCCAACATAACCAAAACTAAAATTATGGAATAACTTGGTTGCCTCAACTTCCTCAAAACTCTCTACAGACCTACCAATCTTATTAACCCTTGTGGGCATAAACTGGCCCTATTTAGGAGTGAATGATTGCCTTGCAGTACCGTATAGGGTGCTGGCTCCAAACCAGCCCCTAGTTAAGGGGACCGGCTGACCAAGGTGACAGAGAAGGGGATACAGGCCCCTAAATGGGGCTGTAGCTGCTTTATTTCTAGGAAGACATACTGTTGAGAACAAACCAATGGCTTTTGTTCATACACAGTGGCAGACCTCAGTAACTTTTACAGATTAGTTTTAGTTTACTCCATATCACAGAATGACTTTTTGTAGCTGGTACAGGAGAGCAGGGAGGCAACTAAGGGACCACAGGGCTGAAGGAGGAGCCCTGAGGAAGGCAAGCGTGGTTGTTCAGGTATATTAAGTGACGTGACTCAGAGCTGGACAGGATTATGGGACCCTTCTCATCCCCCTGCTTGCTAATTGGTGGAAACCGGGGGCAATAGCCTGCCATCCGAGGTGGTTCAAGCACCTACATTGAACACCTTCAAGAGAAATTTTGATGCTTATCTTGCTGGGGTCCTATGACCCCAGCTGACTTCCTGCCCCTGGGGCGGGGACTGGACTCGATGATCTTCCGAGGTCCCTTCCAGCCCTAATGTCTCTGAAATCTATGAAATAACAAAGAAACAGGACCTAGGACTAGGATGTACATAAAGTGGGCCAGGATCCCACAGTAAGGCAGAGTTCTTACCATCCTGGTGTGTGCTTTGTGGCTTTGCCAACTTTTCCCTTCCCTCCCCACTTTACAAAAATGTGGCCCCCTCTACACATTACATGTATTACACTATTCACCAGTTAGTTGCACACTTAATTTAGACTGGCTACATATGCAAATTAACTATCACACCATGAAAACTTGCAAATGTTGGAGGGCCCAACCAGAGGCCATGCTCTTCTTGACCTGCTGCAAACAGGGCAGAATTGGTGGAGAGTGTAGAAGTGGATTTAGCAATTTGGACAGCAGTGACCATGAGATGACTGAGTTCAGGATCCTGAGGAAAGGAAGGAAGGAGAGCATCAAAGTAAGGACCCTGGATGTCAAAAATGCAGGCTTCCATTTACTCAGGGAACTGATGGGCCGGATTTCCTGGAAGACCAGTCTGAGGGGGAGAGGAGTCCAGGGGAGCTTGTTGTACTTTAAAAAAAATCTTACTGAAGGCACAGGAATGGACCATCCCGATGTGCAGGAAGACTAGCCAGTATGGCAGAAGACCAGTTTGGCTTAGCAGGGAACACTTCAATGAGCTAAAACACAAGAAGTAAGCTTACAAGACGTGGAAGTTTGGACAAACTAGTAGGAAGGAGTATAAGAGTACTGCTTGGGCATGCAAGGATGAAATTGGGAAGGCCAAAGGGCAATTGGAGTTGCAACTCACAAGGGATGTGAAGGGTAACAAGAAGGGTTTCTAAAAGCATGTCAGCAACAAGAGGAAGGTCAGGGAAAGTGTGGGTCCTTTACTGAATGGGGGAGGCAATCTAGTGACAGACGATGTGGAAAAGGCTGAAGTATTCAATTCCTTTTCTATCTCAGTTTTCACAGGCAACATCAGCTACCTGACTACGGCACCTGGCAGACAGCTTAGCGGGGAGATGAGCAGCTGACAGTAGTGAAAGAACAAGTTAGGGACCATTTAGAAAAGCCGGATGTGTACAAGTCCATGGGGTCAGAGGTGATGTGCAATTCTATCATTCTGTCTCATACACTGAGCACCGGACCACCGAGTCTGTCAAATAGCGAATCAGTCAAGAAACTGGAACCTACAAACCGCTGTTGGAGGTTGTGTGATGAAGGAACCTGCAATGGTTTGGACAAATCATGAGAAGGCTGGATACCCTTGCCAACACAGTAGTGCAGGGCACTGTGGAGGGGAAGAGGAAAAGAGGTAGACCCAAGAAGAGCTGGGGAACCAACATCAAGGACTGGACAAGGCTTCAGCTGACAGAGTGCACAAAGCTAATCAAACACAGGGCAGAGTGAAGGGTTGTTATAGCATCTAAGGTGCCCCAATGGTCACAGTGGCCTTGGGACTGACTTGACTGGACTCGATGATTCTAAAAAGGTCCATGCAGCTATAAAGTTAGAGCTAGAAAATGCATAATACATTTAGAGCTGGTTTCTATTCAGCTTTAATTTGCATGTGTAGCAGGGTCCCTCCCTGCAGCTGAGAGTCCTAGCAGCAGTGCACCATGGACATCCCTCTCCGTCCCAGCAGTGCACCAAAGTTGCCAGAAAGAAGACTCCTGCAGCTGTGAGGCTCAGCCCTGGTTTTGTCCCATGGCTGTCAGCTGCAGAACTCCCAGCCCTGGCAGCTGTAGGGCACTGCTAGGGCTTAGAGTCCCATCAGCTGTAGGACTCACAGCTGTGGGAGTTTGTTATTTGCTGGTGCAGGGGGAGCCTGGGATGCTGATCCCTGACTCCCCCTGTTCTAGCAATAAGGCACGATAGGATCTGATGTTGGGTCCCACAAACACGCTTCCTGCCATGCACATGAGGCAAGGCAGGAGACATAATTGTGTGGATTGCGCATTAGATCTGATTGCACTTTTACCTGCATGAGTAAAGGGGCCCTTTGGCTGCAACCCATTCTGGCTGCATACCTCCCAGCACTTTCCCCTCCTCACCTCCCGTCATAATAAGCAAAATGACTAGCTTGACCTTCTTAAAGGAGATTATACCAGGTCCAAAGTACGTGGACTAATAAACTAATATTTCATGACTGTGAAGAAAGGCCCAAAATGATTCGGCTGACATTTTTGTTAGGCAGCATAACAAAAGGGCTAACTGCGACAGCTGTTTTTGTGTATACCTAAATAGGTAATGCCAGTAGATGGTGCTCAAGAATAAGCATTCAAGTCCTTGGGTTGTAAGTGACCAGTAAGACTTCTCAGTGTGCCTACAAACAGTTGCTTCTTGTGTCCAGGTATATTTTGTTCATGCGGCTCAGAACAGGAAGAACCCGATGACTGATGAACACCTCTGCATTGTCAACCTATCTAGACTATGCATTCAAAGATTACATTAAAAGCCATGTGACAGACATAAAATTGAGGAGATGCTAAAAGTGAAGAATGGAAGAAGTTATTTCTGGATTTTTAGCCTTCCAAGGATCACCTTTCCAGGTTTCTCTCCACAACCATAAATGACAGAAATTTGGTGTTTTTTTAACCTGATAATTCCATATTCAAATCCATTCCATTTTTTTGTTTTTGTTTCTCTAGTCATTTTGTGTGTCTGGTTACAAATCAGTGATAGAAAGCTCAACACTCACCCTTGTTTCTAATTGGTGAGCAAGACCAATTCCCTCTTCCCTCTTTCTCTGTCCCCCCAGCTTGCCTTATAGGCTCACACATCAGCCTATAAAGACATGCAGCCCCCACACCCAGAGCCCATGTCCTCCCTGCCACCTGCTCAGCAAGGCTCAGACTGCAGTGCTTGGCCCTGACGCACTGAAGTGAGCTGGGTTTCTGTGGCTGGCACTAGGTGAAGGGAGGCACAGGGAACCGAGCCCAGGAGAAGATGCCACTCCTGCTGCTGCATCCCACCAGTGCCATGAGGACCAGAGATTGCTCATAGTATCTCTGTGGAGCAGTCCAACAATAACTGAATATATGTTGCTTAATGCAATCTGGAGTTACTCCTCCTACGAAAAGTTGTAACTTTGCTACAAGTGCAGTGCAGTTGGCATGTTTTACTGCTTGAACATGCAGATGCTCGCATTTTAAGTGCAGTTAACATATCCTCAGTCACCAGCAGCCGATCACCTGCCCCTCTGTCATTGCCACCCCCTTCCAGCTGCCACTGACAATGTACCCAGGGGCATCACATTGGGCCCAGGGTGTGTAGCCCAGGGGCGTCACATTGGCTTGGCCTCCCAGGCCAGATCGAGGTCCAGGCACATCACGGGATGGATCCAGATCCATCTTTGGCAGGGGAGTGGGAGGTGAATAGCTTTGATAGCAGGGCAGGTGGGCTCATGGAGCTACAGGGGTTAACACAGCTGTCACTCACCCCACCTCTGCCAAAAAGCATCCCCAATAGAGCTTCATGCCCTGCTTTCACCACCCTAATTTCCCAGCCCCTCCAGGAGCTGGACACTCCTGCTCTAGCCAAAATTGAGTCACATAGGATGGAAGGGTCATAGCAGGAGCACTAAAATAACACTGGTCCCAGCCTTTTCCCCAGTGAAGCAGCTCCCTCGCCCACAGTCCTTCCGGCCAGGATATTTCCTTGGAGCTTGTACTCATTTCCCCCTTCATTGCTTTCTCCTCTCCCTCCTGCTGCTTTGCTGGTACAATCTTTACTATTATGAGAAGACAGACCCTCAGATCAAGGCCACATGAAACCCTGGCACTGATCCAGCTCCCTCTACACATCTCCCTTCCTTCACAAGGGCTTCCCCGAGGAGAGGTGGGTCCTGGGCCACTCCACAGCCAGGGCGCACAACCCCCCAGGTGCACCCTCCTTGCCCCTCAGCCTCTGCCTGCCTAGCTGGGCAGTCTAGACCAGTGGTGCTCAGCCTTTCTGCCTGGCAGGCCAGATGGGCAGTGCCCGGTCTGTCCGCGGGCTGGATCCTGCCAGTGGTCCCAATCCGGAGCCTGGGGCGGACGCAGCAGGCCCTATCGGGCCGCGCGGAGCGGGAGCCTGGCCCCAACCCAGTCTTGCAGGGAGCCGTCCAGCCTCGGCCTCCACCCAGCCCCGCTGCGCAGGAAGGGGGCCGGGGCGCGGGCGGCGGTGCGGCCCAGCCCTTTGCAGGGAAGGAGCCACCGCGCGCACGGGGCTTGCAGCTCGGCAATTCGGGCAGGGCGGCGCGTGGCCGTGCCCATTTGCCCCGCCGCCCAACGTCCTGACCCGTGGGGAGCCCGCGGCCAGCTGCCACGGCTCCACGCCGGCACTGGGCTCGAGGGCGCGGGGAGGCGTCCTGTGACTCGGACCAGAGTCCAGGGGCCACAGGGGTCCCCGGGCCCGGCCAAGGTGACACGGGCGGGCAGGGGCTGTCGGGGGCAGCCTGGCCCGGGTCTTGTCGCGGTGCTGGGGGGCTTCTAGGACCGGAGGAGAAGGGAGGGTTTGGGGCCCTGGGGAGGGGTCCCGGGCGGTGTCCGCCAGAGGGCTCTGGCTGGTGTGCGCTCAGGATCCGGGGGTTGAACTTCCTGGGTCACATCGCACCGCTGCTGCCTCCCTCCAT